ACTTCCCAATTATCTCCAGGACAGAGGGAGGGAAGTTAGGATGCATTGTGGGGATGTTTTACTTCTGTGTGTCTGTCATTGGTTCACAGTCTCCCATTGACTGTGTGACTTTGTCACAGTCTCCCATTTGGTCCCCTAGGGGAGTGTCCACCAGGTGGGAGACCTGCATAAATACTGGGCAGGTAGCTCTCATTAAACTAGACCACTGCTTCACCCTCAAGAGCTCTGTCTCGTTCTTGGGGGGATTTACTGTATGATGATAGAGACTGATTGCTAGGAGTGTAAGCTTGGGTGATTTTCTTATTTGTCTGCTAGCAGCTATTCGTGAGGTTACAGTTCGGGAGTTTGGAGTGCTATTTTGTATGCAGTTCGGGAGTTTGGAGCATTCCCTTACATGCGGTTCGGGAGTTTGGTGTTCTGCAGTAGCTGTGCCTGTATCTCTGGAAGGGGAAGATCTACTAAACGGGATTTAACCCTTTTATGCTGAGGGTGCCGTTACAACACAATATAAAATTTCCATAAGGCGTTTCGTCAACAGACTTTATCAAATGGAATAACATACAATACCTGGCAAGTTGGTGTTATATAGGAACACAATTAATTAAAAGATTGGCGCCAAAATGATCCGGCCAATCAAATTAAGATAAAATTTGGCATGCATAAATATACATAAATAACTTAGCTAAGGTTAATCAATAGTATAATGAAACATTTCTAATAATATTTCATTTGAAACGAGGGTGGGAAAGTATTTTTTAAACCGAAAGTGATATAGCACGTGACTAGCGGCACTTCCTGTATATCTTGTGAGTGCATAATGTTACATTGTTTCCACCAATAACTATGTTCGCTACAAATGTGGTAACCTTTTTTCAAGCTCTCACAGATTGACTCAATAGTGATTGATTGCTGGTTCTATTCAATTCATATTATTGTTGTTTTTCTTTTTTGGGATGTTTAATCTACATGTGTAACTTATCTCCTACTTAAGTTTATTCTAGTTACACTAGCCTGTATATTTATATATCCTTTTAGGGGTAGCTTTAGTGGGATGATTCCCCTCGCCTTGATATGGGAGGATTTCTCCTTACTATTTTTTTCTGTCTAATACCTGTAATTTGATATTGTAACTGGTAACTGATAGTAGATTTTCCTTCCCTTTGTACGAAGAATATATTCAATAATACATGGTACAGTTTCCCTATACAGAAAATATAAATATACAACAGAACATGTAATCTGTGTATATAATCCACAATAGTATGGAAATTTTTGAGCTGAAACCACTCACACTTTTTTGAGCCGTTTAGAAGTTGGCTCGAGACTTATAATGCCTTTATGTCACTTTCAAGGACATAGAAAACTCTTCCTCCTTTCAAATGGATCCAATTTTTGCAGTGACCACCTAGTGGAAAGTTGGACTCAGGAGCCAGGAGTTGAAGCTATATTAGCAAAAATGTATTACATATAAAATAAAATAAAAAAAATTGCACAACGTGTTTCAACCATTTACATATGGTCTTCCTCAGGTGCTGTTCAACATTACAATGAGCATGGTACCATTTATATATGCTTTAACATGGATACTTAATTATATCATTTGTTACACATGTAACAAAACATCACACCCATTTCCTTATATGGTTCGGACCTGATGTGTGATGCCACCTCCAATATGGCTACACATCCAGTTCGGACATCTCTAGTGCCATATTTATACATCCAATCTATCATGGAAAAAATATATAAAACAAACACAAAATAAACATTAAAACATGGCTGTGGGTACCAAGTTTGCGCCAAGCTATGAAAACCTTTTTATGTCATTTTGGGAAAAAAAATTTGTTTTCCAGGGTCATGGCTGTGGCGCAAACTTGGTCCTCTATAGAAGATATATTAACGAAATTTTTATTGTTTGGAAGGGGTCTGAGGAAACTTTCCTCCAATTTTTTACAACGTGTAACTAGATTATAGTTACACTAAAGCTAGTATAATCTACAATTATCATTCAATACTATCAAATTATACTTAACTGGCATACAACACCATATCCTCACCTGATGGCCTAACAAACATAGTTTCTTTTCATCCTATCAGATTAAAGCTATATTAAAAGGTTTTAAAGATTCCAGATTACCTATACACGATCAACTATTCCAGTCCCTTTCAGATCTCATAGATACCTCACCTTTTGAAGTACAAACTAATCAAGTCATAAAACTAGCACTTACCTGGCTGTCTATGATTTTCTATGGCCAAGAGAATTCACCAAATAAATGCTAACCCCCCACCCCCGAATTTATCAGAAGAACTCACCTGGTAAAGATACATGACTATTATGTACTATCTCTAAACCATACCAAAACTGTCAGAAAGAGGTCAAACAGTTAAAATCTCGTATTACCCAACTAATAATGAATGGTGCCGCGTCAAAGTTCTGGATACATACTGTGACAAACTGCCATTTGCCACTGGGCATTGGAGAGGACTGATTACCAGTCTCCTGCCATGTGACTATGGCCCCTGGGATGTATTGCCCTTTAAGGAACTGATTTGGGCATAAAGGATTTTTATAATGCTATTTCTGGCCCTTTAATTACTTTGGAGCAGTGTTGCAACTTTAAATTGGCACTTCGGATACAGCCAAAGTAGTCGAAGTGGCCGCCATTCGACAAATGAGCACATGGCGGCGGCCATTTTAACTCATTCGAACACGGTCAGCAGTGTGTGCAGCTAAATCTATGGAACTGTTTTTGGCTACCAAATTGCACGAACACCGCTGACCCGTACCTACTTCGATACTGCGGCTGGAGACTAAGTCCTGTTCGAAGATTCGAATGCTCTTTCGAATGGGACTTAGTCATTTTTTCAGTGTAAAATAGACTGACCACACAGCCCAAATCCATGGAACTATTTCGGTCATAAAGGACTCCCAGCTAACTTTTGATCTACTGGACGGATTTTTATGATTTTCGAGTATATTGGTATTTAAAGGACGTTGATTTTAAATATGTAACTTTTATTAATATTGCATGCATACTTCTAAAGTTATAAGAATTGTGTAAAAACTGTATATTTTATGCCTGTGATAATTAAGTTAGTCTATTGTCTTGAGATAATTGTATCACAGGCAGAGGGGAGGATTTCTGCTGGGAGTGGTTTACTTTATTGTACGTGTTGTAATGTTGCTATTGGTTCTTCTGAAAAACCCTGTGGGCGGTCCTATATGTGTTAGACCTCCACAAAAGAAGGCCCTTTGGTGCTAATTAAACACAGTTCTTCTTTACCCTTAAAAACGTAGCCTCGTCTCGTTATTGGAAGGAACTGCTATAATCACACTGGGGATTGCTATGCTCTGCATACTCCCTTGAGCTTTAATCACTTAGCTCTTTTAAGAGCTTGTTCCTGATACGCTCTCCTGGAGGAGAGGTCTTCCCCAAACGGTCCTGGAGGACAGAAGCCGATCCAGGGTGGACAGAAGACGGCGAGACTCCAGTTAAGCTTCGGCGGTTGTGGAGTCTGCGGTGGTTGTGGTGTCCAGTGCGGTGCTTGTGGTCTTCGGCGCAGGCTAGGAAGAGCCCATTAACGTCTGTTACACATACTTAACCTCCATGTGCTGCTGTAGCCACACCACTGTATTGGGCATCAAAACCGTATCAAATATATATACTAACTAAAAACATTTCCAATGTTAATTAAGTTCAATGTCTATCTCTTTGAAGCCTTCGATTGCACTTTATGGGGTAAACATTTGGCTTTTCTATTTTACCCCTCTTTAGTTTAGCTGTCACCATGGCAGCGTCTATTTTGTATACTATGTAGCCATGGTGACTGTAGTAGATAATTTACTGCAAACCAATTAGTTTGAATGACTATCTGTTCCTGTCCAAATTAAAGATAATAAAGTTGCGTGCACGCAGAAGTAAATTCACACTGAGACACAAGGTTCAGGTTAATGAAAGAACTTCAGAGAAGTTTAATGGCTTCTGACAGAAAATGGGTGCGCAGACCCTTATAAAGGCATTATTACATCATTGAAGAAAATCAAGATATAGACAAATAGACATTGTTAATTGGCTTAGGTGCTAAGATGTTAGTAAAATGCCCTCCCCATTCTTAGGTCACTATCTACGTAATTTCTTAACTCCTACAGGTTTTAGCGCCATTTTGCTAACATGAGGAGTTCACTCGACGGGAGGGGCCTTTTGGCAGCTATCCATTTAGAGCGTAGCTGGCACTTGTTAGTTTCTCAAGGTTAAGTTTCAAGGCTTTTAGTAAATACACATTTTATCAAAGCTATTTCTTGCTGACATGCAAATTCTATGTTCTATAGACAAAGCTTTCTTGTAAAACTATGGGGGCCTCTTAGAGGTATAGCAAGAGGATTTACAGGGGCCTTACAGATTTATAGAGGCCTAAGAATTCTACAACAGTCCCCCCTAAAATGTTATTTGCTAAAAGACAAAACTTTATTTGTTAGTATCAGAAGAAGTATTAGCCCAAAGACACAGAAACCCCATGACCGCTGACTTAGTGTTAATGCAAAGTGCAAGTCTATCCCTCTCTTGACCCTAACAGGCTGCAGCACATCCGTCAGTACGGTTCAGGAACACTCTTCACTCCGCTGGTAACCCATAGTGGCTTATCCACTACTTCTCCGTACGGCAGTCTACCCATAAAGACGGACGCTGTCCCTGTACTGTCCCTTCCTAGACTTTCTGCACTTCATCAGTATAAGGGAGAGTTTGTAGCGGAATACAGGGTGAGATGAGGTCTTGATCATCGATTGTCAGATGAGTGAAGGTTGGTGTTGCTTGGTCTACAGTTTTCTGCAGGAATTTCCTTAGGCATGGGAGGACACAACAAATGAGAAGAGCGAGAATAAAAAGAAAAATTAGTAAGGCAATACCAATCTGGACTAAAGCTCTCTGCCAACCAGTCATCCAACCAAACCATTTTTCCCAGGGATCAGTAACTCCAGAGTTTCTCTTTAACTCTTCTGAGAGTCTATTTAATTTAGCTATGGCCAGAGTGACTTTACCATTAGGACCTGTGTTTTCTGGGATATAAGTGCAACAAGTCATGGTGTCAGGTAGTATTTTACATACACCCCCCCCTTTTCAGCTAGAATCATGTCTATGGCCATTCTGTTCTGGAAGGTCATCTGGGATGTGGCCTGCAACTGCTCGGCCAGGCCCTGGAGGGCATCCCTGGTGTAGTTGACAAAACGCTGTTGGTTGTAATAAATGTAGTTAATCCAATTAAGGTTTTTGTTGGCAGTGACTATAGTGAACAGTGATTCAAAACCTGCAGCTACTTCATCTCTAGCTTTAAATTCATTATGTACCCCCCTAGGTACCCCAATGGCATCTATGTAAATGTGGGGGTCAAAACTGCCTTTTACTGGGGTTTCGCACCTTACTCTGGCTGGTGTATGTGGAGGGTCGTATGTGTCATGATGATTATCAGAAATAATATGAATGGGCATGATAACTTTGGCTAGGGTACACTCACCCCACCACTCAGTTTCCAGCCTAGATCTTAACTGTAGATCCCCACATAACCAGTAAATATCCCCCAATGACCTGGTATGGTGTTGCAACAGGCATATAGGAACAGTTCTGTAAGTGGCGCAATAACCTTTAGAAAAGTTACCCATGAATTTACCAATCCCGTCATACATGGCATAACAAGTGTAATTACCTCTATAGACTGTGATTCCATCTGGTGGCTTAACATTTTCAACTAAGAGAGGGTATTCTGCCGTCCATGCCATGCAGAGGGACCTATTAAAGTCATATTGGTAGGCAAAAAGGCTTAAGAAGCAATCTTCTATCTCTAAAGGGAGAGTTAGGGGGACGGTGCCAAGGTGGGGTCGGGCACCGCCACATACATAACATGCTGTTTTATTATGTTTGTTGGCATTATACCTCATCCATTCTAACCACAAATTAATGTCATTGAATCCAGTTTCAGCGGCCATGGTATCTTCAAAAGTGGGGTTAGCGATGGCCATCATATCTTTAAAGGACTGGATATGTGGTTTTAGCGGATTTGGGACCATATGATCAGCCCCTTGCCACTCTGGAGAGTGGTACATATCTCTGAGGTAGAAATGACCTAATTTGTTGTAGGAACCTTTCTTCCAATACATTCCCATTACATATCGGTCTGCATCCTCGGGGCCAGGATGTTCAATATTTAACATTAATTTCATAGGGGTACTTCCTCCAGGCTTTCTTAAAGTCATTCTTTGAAGGAGGGATCTACCCTGATTGTCTATCTTAGATAAAGCACTTTTGGGTTTATAACCCCAGGCAGGCCCAGTATTCCATCCCGCAGCCCCCCAGTAGTTACAGTCATAACCCCATTGTTCATCTACTACACAAACGTAAGGGTCTTTTGCTTGTGGGATATCTGTATAAATGGCTTGAATCTGTGACTTAGGGAATGGGCATTCTACAATATCACAGTAATCAAAAGTGAATGTAGCCACATGGGTACATGATGAATTATACCAGAAAGTGTACCCACTAGCATCTTTGGTGATGGCCACCTGCTGGGCTTTAAGGAGGCCAACTAAGGAGATAATGTACCAGAGGCACATGGTTGCATAGAGTTAGCTTCCTCTGGGGCAGGTGTCTTCTTGCAGTGGGAAGCGTGGATCCAGTTAGGCCTTCCGGCCAATTTGACAGAGGTAGGGGAGATCAGGAGAACTTGGAACGGTCCGTCAAATCTTGGTTCCAGGGTGTGTTTTCGCACAAATTTCTTGACCAGAACCCAGTCACCGGGGAGCAGACTGTGGTTGCCTGTGTCAGAATCAGGATCTGGAATTGAAGAGAAAACTTGGGCATGGATTTTGTTCAAAGCATTTGCGAGTTCAGTTACATAATCTACTAAAACATCAGTTTGAAGTTGTAGTTGTTGGGGAAAATAGCAACCTAGCCTAGGTGCAGTCCCAAATAGAATCTCATATGGGGACAGTGAGGTAGTATTTTTGTACAAGAGCATTCATTAGATCCTTTGATAAATGTGCAGGTCCGTGTGCCCATTGTACGGCTGCTGGGTACAAATTCTTAGGGAGGCAGAAATTGAGGTTGTTGGAGTACACTCCATCCTTCAGAACTGCCCCTTTCTGTTTCCACTTCTGTATTTCTTCAGGGGTAACTGTAGCCTGTTGTTCCAGCAGGATTTTCAGGTCAGTTGGAAGAGTCTGCAGAGTAAATATGGGAGTTTCTTCATTTCCGGACACTCTTCTTTCCACTTCCTGTGGTTCTTTTGCAGCTTGTTTTGCAGCCTGATCAGCTAGATGGTTGCCCTTTGCTTCATCTGAGTCCAACTTCCCATGTGCTTTTATCTTCAAAATAGCCACTTCTTCTGGGAGTAGGAGGGCGTCCATCAGCTCCTTGATTGCGGAACCGTGCTTGATTGGTGTACCGGCGGTGGTAAGAAATCCTCTTGTTTTCCAAATTAATCCGAAGTCGTGAGCCACGCCCAGTGCATATCTTGAATCCGTGTAGATATTGGCGCGCTTTCCTTCAGAGATCTTGCATGCTGAAGTCAGGGCTTGCAATTCAGCTTCTTGTGCAGACATAGTTGATGGTAAAGATGATGATTTGACAATTTCATCTGTTGTGGTTACGGCATATCCTGTATGGTATCTTCCTTCTTCATCAGCATATCTTGAGCCGTCCACAAACAGGGTGAGATCGGGATCTACCAATGGGTCTTCATGCACAGTTGGTAGATGTGTTGTTTCCATTTTCATCTGTTCAAAACAGTCATGAGGTGTATCTGGGTCGTAGTCATTCACTATGGTTAAATCTTGGAACTCATTTTCCAGGAAATGACGTGGCCATGCTTTTAGGTGGTCAGTTGTTGGATATTTGACAACACCATTTTCCTGTAGCTGTGATTCGTCCATAGTGGCCCATGCTTTTGCCATAGGCCCAAGATCATTTTCTTGATATTGTTTTCAACTTGGTCACAGGGACATGTGGAATGGCAGTGTCCCAATGACGGTACAAATGCTTGAGTTCCGGAGGTAGGTGAATCAAGACCATACTGTTGCCTTCAGAATCACAGTAGAAGTCTTGTGCAGTGAGTTTTACTTCGACCAGATTATAGAGTTCATCTTCATAGCAGGGTTCAGGAGTGATGTTTGGTTTGTACCACATGGTACAGAAGGCATGTCTTGCTCCGTCATGAAGGAGTGCTTGTCCATCATGAAAGGATAGGTTGGGATGCATTTCCTTCTTGATGGTGCCAGTGAGAAGAAAAACATAAGTTTCGTCCATGATGAATCCGTAGTATACACCCCCCTCAGGGAGTGGCAGAAGAGTGGACGGATTGAGAACTTGACATCTTTGGAGGGTAATGTTGTCAGGCAACAAAAGATGACATTGAAGGCGAAGATGCCTAGCAGGAGTAACATGCTTAAGTTGGACCTGGTTGACTATGGCAGAAATGTCATGAGGGGCCAAGACAACCAGGGGGTGGCCAAGGACAAGATCCCCAGTTCTTTCAATGAGCTCTCTGGCAGCAAAGACGGCCCGAAGGCAAGAGGGACGTCCTCTGGCCACAATATCCAGTTGGCAGGAGAAAAATCCAATAGGCCTTTGGCGGCCTCCAGGACCATGGGCCTGAGTGAGTACTCCTGTTGCATGGCCTTGTCTTTCAGAAACAAACAATTTGAAGGGTTTGGTATAGTCTGGTAGGCCAAGAGCAGGAGCAGAAGCAATAGCACGCTTGAGAGAACAGAAGTTGTCAAGGGCTTCTGTGGACAAGCAAAATGGGTCTGACTTGAGAGCATCATAAAGAGGTTGCATAAGGAGCGAGGCTTCAGGGATCCATGCTCGGCAATAGGAAATGAGGCCTAGGAAGGCGTGTAGTGACTTTGAGGTCCTTGGAGGTGGAATGTCCAGTACTGCTCTAACTCGGTCACGAGTGAGATGTCTGGTTCCCTGAGACAGACAATGGCCAAGGAAGATAACAGTAGGTTGGCAGAATTGCAGCTTGAGACGTGAAGCTTCACATCCTTGTTCTGCTAGATAGTAAAGAAGATTAATTGAGCATTGTTCTGTTGTGGGTAGATCATCTCCACAGTAAAATGGGAAGGGAACAAAGAACTGTAGTGTCTTTTCGTGACAAAGGTGTATTTAATTGAACCTGGCCGACTGCAGTGAGGGTGATGGATGCTTGGAGGCGGGATAGGACATCAGCACCAACACAAGAGACATCGGTGTCAGGCAGGAACGATGAGTCAGGCAGGTCTTGTTCTCTAGGAACACTGCGGGATGCACCTGTGTTAACCAGGAAACCAGGAAAGCAGTAGGGTGACCTTCAATAGGTAAAGTTACAGTGGCCCTTGTTCCCTGTAGACACTGCCATGGCAGGGGCATTAAGCATCAGCGGGTTTGCTCTCCTCTGTATGGGCTGTGTTACTGACTCAAACCCCTTTCTATGTCATTAGCCATAGCTTTTTGCAGTCTGAACATGTCTATCATTATAAATAATGGTTAATAGTAAGTGAAGTAAAGTTCCTATATGTCTTTGGATAAAACATTAACTATTGCGGTACTATCATTTATATTAATTAGACTATAACAATTATACCACCCTGTAACTAAAATAAACAACCAGTAGTGGCTGGGTTAATAAAACATGTCACTAATCCTTCTAATGCTAAACCATCATTTAAAGTAAAGGATGTTACTGTAAACATAAGATCTGTAACTAGCAAGATTCGATTAAGTAAAGATACAATGTTTAAAATAACTTGCATTATTTGGCTATTTCCCTTGTTGCAAGATTAAGCTGGATAATCAGCTGTTATGCTCTTATATTCGTGTCCAACAGATTTCATATGTAGGTCACACCACATTTGCAAATTACATTTTAGCAACCTTCTTTTTTTTATATCACGGACAAATTGCTGATACAGGGAAACAAATGGCATGATTGTTTTAGTAATTATAATGTTTCAGTTCATAATATGTAGAGTGTAAGGAAAACAACATGTCTCTAAATGGGACGAGCATAATAGGGGTAGGCCTCATGATGGAGGCAGCCATGACAGGGGCGGGGAAGGAAATGACAGCAAGGGAGGAAGTGAGAGGGGTGACGTCCATGATATGTGTGGGAAAGGAAGACAGGAGGTGTGGGCATGGTAAGGGCGGAAGTGACGTCACTTTAGAAGCAACCGTGACTGTAGATAGGTCACGGGACTGGCAGGGTCAACCTCCTTCTGTACTAGGCGCCATCTTTAGGGTGGTGGCTGACGTACTTTCAACCATACACTATATTAAAACTATTAAAA